ATATATATATATATATATATATATATGCATCTAATAACGTCACTGATAACACTATCCTCATTATTTATTGGCCGAATTCAGCTAGCTATGTTTTTTTACACATTATAAATGCACAAGTTAAATGATGCAAGACTCAACAATTTCCTGTCAATAGTGTAAAAAAAAACGCAAAATTTACCTTTTGCACTTCCGTTTGACAATAATTAAATACTTATAGTTATAAACGTTGGACCAACTTGCGGTTTATAGATAATCAAAACGTCGAGGTATTTTTGGTATGCTATTTTTTTATTTTATTTTATAGATTTTGGTATGGTATTTGGTTGCTTGCTTGCAAAGAAAATCAGCAAACTTATTTTCCATTTCAGGCCACTTATCTGTCTACTTCAACTTAATCTGCCAAAAAAAAAAACGTTTCAAATCCTATAATTTTCTTTGATTAGTCATAAAAATATATCAAAATAATCGTGGTACGGTTGAATTGCCATATATGAAAATATTCACTATTTTATTATTGTGTTCGCCCTATCTTGAATATATTTCATATAACGAGGTATGATCTTTTTCTTTAAGAAACAATAAGGTATGGTCTATGTTATATATTATGTGTTCATAAAAATTTCAGTATGTTGTCTGCATGAAATTAGAGAAATTAACCTGCTCATTTACGATTTTTTTATTTACTTTATTATATAACTATATTAGTAAGATTGCTCTTTTTTTTTTCTAAAAATAAATTAATACAATTATTATTTTTTTATTTAAAATATAGACATTGATTTAAATAAAATTCATATATATTTTTCTCTGTTAATTAATACAGACTATCTAGACATGCATGTATAGTACTACTATTAATTAAAGGTGTTGGTTTTGAACTATACTATATATGACATGAGAACCCCATGCAAAATCATTAGTTTAAATAGCAATACATAGTGATATTAGGTAGATTATATTTCAACGAATTTCACTACAGTAACTCAAAACATTGAATTAATATACATAGGTTGAAAATCTCTAACGTTAAAGGTACATAGACCGAAATGATAATATAAAATAATTAAGGCAAAGTTTGATTATTCAACGAAAACCATTTGGTAGCGTAGGATCTGGTAGCATCATCTCTAACCGTTGGATGAAACAGTGGAAAAGTTCTATATAAGTCATACCACCATCATCCATTTTCCACACTGCAATTCAAAACAACCTCCATCTCTAGTGTCTCTTAGCTCACTAAACCATTCTCTTCACTTAAAACCTTTTTTCTCTTTTCACCAATCATGGCACCCAATATCACCACCGTTGCCACCACTGAGCAAGCCAAAGTTGGTGGCGGAAATGGACGTGCCTTCGTCACGTTTCTTGCTGGGAACGGTGATTACGTAAAGGGTGTTGTTGGTTTGGCCAAAGGATTGAGAAAGGCCAAAAGCAAGTACCCTTTGGTGGTTGCTGTGTTACCTGATGTTCCTGAGGAACACCGTAAGATTCTTGTTTCCCAAGGTTGCATTGTTAGGGAGATTGAACCTGTGTATCCCCCTGAGAACCAGACACAGTTCGCCATGGCCTATTATGTCATCAATTACTCCAAGCTTCGTATCTGGGAGGTATGTATATATGTTAAGGTTTTTGTTTTTTAATTAGTTACCAGTATAAAATATAAATTGGTTTTTATACGGTTAATTATATAATCAGTATCAATTTTAAAATTATTATTTTTAATACACTCAGTTTTGTTTTTTATGGTTATTGCATGGGTTAGTACACGTAATATATACTATTGCTTGCTTAACTTGGAAGACTTTCGGATTCTGTCACCTTTTCTATTGTTTTGTGTTGTCTGCTAAAATGGAAACCGTTTTGTGATGCACCCTTCAGTCCCTTTTTTTTTTTCCTTCTTTTTTCTGGTTTTAATCGGTTGGAATTAAAATAACGGTAAAAGGATTGAATTGCAAGACCTTATGAATACTACTACAACCTTATTCATTCCTTTGATAATATATTTATATTTTAAGGAGTTATATATGCTACTTGATAAATTGAGGTGTTTTAAAATATTCACTCACTTTATAGATCCATAAAATAAAGCAAAATATTGAATTCATGCTCATGTTCACAGGTTTAGTAAATTTTCATATTATCAAATCAATGAAACCATATCCATATAATCTTCTTCTTTATATATGGTAAAGACTAAAATATCACTATTTAAAATAGAAAAACCTTTGATCCTTCTCCACCAGTCTTTTTTTTTCTTTTTTTCACTCTTACTTTCAAAACTGTTGTCCACAAACTTGATTTCATACTTTATCAAAACTCGTATAATAAGTGCCACTTTCTCAACTGAATATTTATTAAAAAAAAAAAACCATAATTAACATCAAAACCTCTCTTTACATGGACAGAGCCATTTAAATTTAACGGAATGCCATTTTTGTACTTAAATAAGTGTTGTACGCGTTTATAACCCAATATAATTTTTGGATCAAAAGTAAAATGCATAAATTGCTTTGTAGATTTTTAAAATTATTTTTTAAGCAAATTTGTTCTTTAAAATTGACTTTTTGTAACGTATTTTAGATAATTTGTAGATTTTTTGAAATCTAATTTTACGATGCATTAAATATATTCCAGAAAATAAATTTTTGAAGCATTGAAAATTTAACAAAATCTGAAAATTAATTTTTGAAAGCGTTAATTTTTTTTTTTTTAACATGATATGAATTAATTTTCGGAAGAAAAAATTCCAACTCATACAAGCTTTCTTCAATATGTTATCAGTAGTTTATATACATGTTCAAGCTTTATATATCTACCACGTTATCATAGTTTGTTCTCATTCAGATTTTCTCGAACATGTTTTGTAGTTTGTGGATTTCAACAAGATGATATACTTAGACGGTGACATCCAAGTTTTTGGAAACATCGACTACTTGTTTGATTTGCCTGATAACTATTTCTATGCGGTGATGGATTGTTTCTGTGAGAAGACTTGGAGCCATACCCCTCAATACCAAATTGGCTACTGCCAACAATGCCCTCACAAGGTTCAATGGCCCTCTCACTTTGGGCCTAAGCCCCCTCTATATTTCAACGCTGGAATGTTTGTTTATGAGCCCAATTTGGCCACTTACCATGATCTTCTCCAAACAGTCCAACTCACTAAGCCCACTTCCTTTGCAGAGCAGGTATATACAATCAACTAGAAATGTCAGCAACACTTATTCTAATACTCTCTTTTTAATAATCTTTCATAAATTTTGATAGATCTTAATTATCACTAAATCATAATAGATTCATTAAATAAGTTGTCAAATCTACAAAATTTATGACTTTCAATAAATTTTAAGACACTCATTGACAGTAACTTAAAAGAGTGTATCATTAAAACTTATGATCAATTAATTGCATAATTCATATGAAAGAAATTAAAGAAGATAGTATCTGCAAGATGGTAAGTGTGATCGTGAATTTGTTTTCATGTGTGGTAGGATTTCCTGAACATGTACTTCAAGGACAAATACAAGCCCATACCAAACATGTACAACCTTGTGCTAGCCATGTTGTGGCGTCACCCAGAGAATGTTGACCTTGACAAAGTTCAAGTGGTTCACTATTGTGCTGCAGTGAGTGTTCTACTGTATTTCTTCTAACAATGAATTCATTAAAAAAAAATTGTTTTGTTAATGGTTTTTGTTTCATTTATGTTACACACTAGGGTTCTAAGCCTTGGAGGTTCACTGGGAAGGAGGAGAACATGGATAGGGAAGATATCAAGATGCTTGTAAAGAAGTGGTGGGACATATACGAGGATGAGACATTGAACTTCAATAACAACGTTGTCAACATGGAACGCTTCACGAAAGCGATGTTGGAGGCCCGTGGCATTCAATATGTGCCAGCCCCTTCTGCTGCCTAATATGCTTGCTTGCTAAACTTATTATATTATAGCTATGAATTAAAGTCTAACGACCAAATATATGTATTGTTGTTTTTTTGTTTTGGGGTTTTCTAAAGACTAAAGGAACAACATCTATGGTTTTAATGTGGATGATCTTCCTGTATACGATGAAGTCACATATCAATACAACTTTTGATTATTGAGATTTATTGGACCTTTCTTTTTGCTTTTTTTTCATCAGAAGCAGCGGTGCATATCTTTAAGTTTATTAAATGAAAAATTTTAAGGCATGTTTTATCTTCTTCAATAGAAGAGACTCAAAGCTTAGAAGAGTCGAGGATAGGTTATTAAAGTGTAAGTTAGAGCAACTTTAATAGAAGTTGCTCGTCTTATGAAGCAACTCAAATCTCGGTTTTTTGTTATTGGAGGACTCTGACGTGGCAACATGAGTTGCTTGAAGAAGAGAGAGAGTTGCTTCTTCAAGCAACCGTTCCTTACCAGATTTTAAGCAGATCTTATTAAACATATTTAGAAACGTTTCATAAATAATAATGATGAAAATTAATTTTATATAATATTTATATATTTATTATTTCTTTATTTTATTTTTAATATCTACTTATTGTATATTTTTTCTCATAATTTATTTTTTTCATTGTAGTGTAATTATCCTTTTTAATAAAAATTTAAATTTGGTTCATAAATGATTAGAAAAAAATTCTAAAAGTTGAATTTCTTAACGTTTCTTACCATTGCTAAAAGTTAAATTTCTTAAAATTTCTTATCATTGAAGTAAATTTGTGTTTGAGTTGCTTAATGCTGATATGGCACACTAGGGACCATTTTTTTCATTTTTCAATGTATGAAACAACTCAAATAAGTTATTTCCATTAAAGATGCCCTTACGTGCAAAGACTTTAAGCTTCTGTGGTGTTAACGGAAAACAGCCCACTGAGGCCCAATGTCTTAAGCAACTTAAGTCCAGCTACTTCACAACTGCATGACTCATGTCCCTTCAAAATTGGTTTTCTTCGCTTACGAATTTTTCACATATGACAACAATTTAATCACACATACACACTCCTCACCCTCACAGAATTTATCCAATCAAACTGAAATTGAAACAATTAGAAAAGCTTCATTCTAGGCAAATTTTCCAAAACAGAGCAACCAATTTTCTTCTTCAGCCAAAAATTGTTCAGACAAAGTCTAAAGCATAACAAGAGTCTATCACTTCACCAAATTTATTATTAATAATAATAAATTAATTATCTTTATTTTATTATATATCTAATAAAAATATAGATTAATAAATAATATATATTAAAAGTATTTATATTATACTAAAATTTACTATTAATGACAATTATTTAATAATAATAAATTAATTATCTTTATTTTATCATCTAATAAAAATATTAAGATTAATAAATAATGATCATTAAAAATATATTTATAAAAATAATTATTAAAAATGACCGATAAAAAATAATGATAACTTTTAATTCATTTTATTTAAAAAAATTTAAATTTTATATTGATTAAAGATAAGACAATTAAAAAATATATAATTATTGATAAATATTTTAGTAACATTGCATATAATAAATAATATAAAAATATGAGTAAAATATTTTGTGGTCATTTTTATTGTCATTAAAAATAATATTAAGTATTACTAAAAATTCATTTTATTGTAGTATTATTTAGATATATATTTACGAGTATTTTTTTAAAAAAAAAACTATTGATAAAAAAATCTTTATTTTTGATAATAAAAAAATCTTAAAAATACTTTTATCTTATATCTAAATAAAAATGATGGAATTGCAGTGGAGAGAGAAACGGTGAGGGTTCCTCTATTTTTGTATGAAGAACTCGATCCACTAAATAGGACCCAACCCGAACTTGATTAAAGAAGCAGTTTGCCATGGCCTATTAATAAGCTACGTATCTAGAACGTATTTGTTATCATTTTTGTTTCTTATTATGCTTGCATGTGTTACACGTAGTATATATTTATATATTATTTTTAATTTTCGAGGAGTTTTTGGATTGTCACTTTTCCTATTGTTTTGCATTGTCTGCTACAATGAAAACCGTTTTGTATACGTAATGCCCCCCTCCACACTTTTAATATAATATAGTTATATTTTATTAGCCCTTTAGTGGAATATAATTTTTGTAGTACACTTTTGTTTTTGTTAGAAAATGGTTTAGATTAAGGTAAGTTACTATCCTAAATAAAGTTAGTTTAATTTTTTTTTTGTTAAAAATTAAAATTATTTCATTGCAAATTATCAACTTCATCTTCAATACAAATCTGCATAAAAGAAGATTTAGAATACAAAATGTTAGATGTCTTAGGATTGTGTCTAAAGATTTTTAGACCTTAAAAAAATTTAAAGTGTTTTAAGTACAATGCAAATTATTATTATTACTTTAATATTCTTTTAACTACAAAATCATTTATTAAAGTTTTATAGTTAAGTAACATTCCATTCTCAATATTATATATGACTAATCTTTAATTATTATGATCAGTTTATTAATTGGAAGTTAAAGTAATATATACATAATCTTAAATTTAAATGTTGTTTTTGTTATTATAATTCTTATGAATAAAAAATTGAATAACCTATATAATTAATCTAATATTGTTGATCTAAAATATGATTTAATACTATATTAATTTTGAAAATATCTTTTAAAGATATACTAATTGTTATGGATGGTATCAAATATATTTTATATATACATTTTGGAAAAGAAAGAAAAAAGTCATTCCACTTTTTCTTATATTAAAAAAAATGCAACTGATATGGCCGCAAACCTATAGAAGCATTTGTTAGAAATTATTTAATAGTAAGAATATTGCTTCTAAGTAAATTCAAAAATGTGCTTGGTTAGATTTTAAAATCCTTATAAATATATTTCAAATTTTTAAATTATTAAAATAAAAAGTTAAGATAGAAACGCAAATAACTTTTAGAAAACAACTCATATTCTTATAGTTACGTAACTTTACTACCTATTATCATAGAAATAAAAACAAAGTAAAACAAAATATTACCATTTTCCTAAACATGAACAATACGAACTTTAAGGTAACACTTAAATCGGATAAAAAAGAAAAAAGAAAAAAGAAGTCAAGTGAATGTTAATAACATCCCTTTAATCATTAAGATACAAAGGAATTTTTATTTTTATTTTTTACAAATTCATTACTTTGTTTTCATTGACCAGGGGTGCTGGTTCTGATATCTTTAATGTCATTAAATGTAAATTTTTTGGCATGTTTAGTTTGTTCTTAAGTCATTTTTGGTACTTTTCTTAAACAAATAAAATAGGAAAAACACAGCGATGAGCAGAAGTAGGTAAAGAATCTTTTGATATGTGATTAACTAACACCTTTGGGAAGACAAAGAATTTTGTAACTATATTTTTATTATTTCATATGACTATTTTTTTTTTTTTGTACAATTAAAGTCATTTATATTTCATATGACTATGGGTGTTCATGAGCTTAGTCATGCACAAATCCAAATTATTGTTTAAGTTGAAATCAACACGATCTCTTTAAATCTGATGACTTTTAATATCAATAATGAATTTTTATTTTTAGACTAGCGAGTGAATCCAATGACCCAATCCATTGACACGATATTCTGCTTTGCAATTTTTTTCTTTTTTTTTTTCTTCTTATTTATATATTTTTAAAATAAAAATAATTGTATTTTTCCCTCAAAATTATGCATTCTTCTCAGTTTTGCCGTTCAATTTTTCCCCTCAAAATTATACATTCACAACAAGATACTTTTCGGCAATCTAACCGCCATAAACATGTTTTATTGTGCCATTTTAAGTACGTGATGAAAATTTTGTGACATTTTATAAATTTAATGGAAAAATTTTTTAGAGAAAAAAAAATATAGTAATGGAAAAAATTTAATGCAATCAAATCTTTGGAACAATTTTTAAGGTTTTTTAAAATTCGAACTAATTCGATAGTGGTTGAATTAGTTTCATTTAATTTTGATTAAAAAAATACAAATTCAACCCAATTTAAATTAAAATATTTTAATTAAATTTGGATAATGAATTTAATCCATCTCATTTACAATATAATTGAATCATCCATTACATATAGTAATTATGATCACAGTTAATTTGATTGTAAAGTCGGTTAAACTTTTACTTTAGGCCTACAAAAAAATTTCTTTAGGGTTAAAATCTTACTTGGTTGGTTGACACAAATCATCAAACATCCGGTCCAAATATATATCTCCTATAATATGGTTCGATTTCGTAGGAATATTAAAATGCATATCTCATTAGTAAATATATGAATTATTTTCATATATTTAGATAGACAAATCAGGTGACTAATATATTTGTGAAGAGAGATTTTTCTTTAAATGAGGATTTTTTTAATGAATTTTCTCTCTCTTAAATTTATTTTTGCAGTGATTTTCTTTGGTGGTTTCTAGTTTGGGTTTTTAACCCACCTTAATCAACAAGTTTTCTTTTACTATCTTACTCATAAAAAAATCTATACAATTTTTATTATTAATTAGTGATAATTAAGATTTTTTTTTGGTAAATAGACTTTGAATATTGTTGGAGAAAATTGTATTTTCATTTTTTAAAATATCTTTTTCTTAATTTTTTTAATTAATTTTATAAACACTTCATTTCAAAATTTGTTTTAGGTGCAATAATAGATTGGAGGGACTTGACATGTATTATCAACTAACCTAAGAATCTATGAAACACACGAAAGAAAAAGGTAGGAATGCTAATCCCGTTGTGCCTTCATTCAGATTGTCATCAATATTCATTACTTTAGACTTGGGAATTGGGATCAAGGTGGACTCATGGAATATTAGCACTCTCGTCCCTTGTGCTTATCGCATAGTCACATACTTGTAATTAAGGACAAAATTATTTCGTTCACGTAAATACCACGTATAACGTATTCTATCAATTTTGAGTTTGAGGAGTCCTTCTTGTATTGTTTGAACCATAGCTAATCATCTCATAATTTCTTTTCTTTTCTTTTCTTCTTCTTGTTATGCTTATCTTTTTTTCCTGCCAATCTTTTGTTTATTTTCGATTTCCTGTTTTTTGTTAGAATATATATAAAATTTTGGGTTGAGAACAATATGTAGGATTCACAAAACCTTTTAATTTCTTTCATATTTATAATTCACTTTTACACAAAAGAGAAAATAAATTATACCGACATCTTTACAGTTTCGTAAGATTACACGTAATTTCCCTTTTTTATTTAATGTTTCTGACAAGTTTATTTTTTGTATGGGTAAATATGATGTTTTTAAATAATTAAAGGAAACTAGTGTAATGTAATGTCTAAAGAGTGTTAATGTAATATTTTTTGAACAATTGAGAAGATAGTATAAGATTAGGAAAAAATAAAAAAGAGGTATACATGTAATTTCACGAAATTTAAAAATATTAGTATAATTTACTCAAAAGTAAAAATATTAATTTTTTTTAATAGAATTGTCGACTATACATATATATAATCCACTATATATGACTATATATAGTTAAGTTTATTATATAGTCCATAGTAATTCTATAGTAATATAATGTTATATTATATCTTGTCTCTCATTTTTTTGTTTTTACTAAAAAACATAGGTTTTAAATAATAAAAAATGCAACAAAGGTAACAAAAATAATATTCTTTTAGCACTAACGTCTTCCAACTAAATAAAAAATAAAACAAATATTTATTTAATCATTATAGTTCCATAAATATATTTTTCTTTTAGTCAATACTTAAAAATCATTTGTCTTAATATTTTTAAAAACATACTTTCGATTTCATTTTGGTCTGTGTTAAAAAAAGAAGAAGTTAATATTGTTAATGTGGATGTCAACGAGATATTGACATAAATTGCTCTTTATATTTTAGTCTTTATATTTGTACTATTTTTATATTTTGATTTTATATTTGTATAATTTTTACATTTTAGTTTCTACTCTTTTTTTTTTTTTTTGGAAAAGTTTAGTTACTACATTTAGAAACTAGGAGAATATTATATCCCCGAAAAATCTTCCAAATCAGTCAATGATTTACATGTGTTAATAATTTTAAATAAAATATTTTTTAATTTTAATATTTTAAAATTTTAAATTTTCTGAAAAAATTTCGGATGTTAAGTTTTGGAAGAAGAATCATTTCTCTAGAAACTATTTGATCCGGTCTTTACATGAGTATATTTTATACTTTTTAATCAGTTCCTATCAGCATCTCTCTTCTTTCTTCTTATCTCCCTTATTTGTTTTCTTATTTTCTTTTTTCCATCAATGCCTTTCTCTTCGTTTCATTTTGTTGGTTATGTTTCTTTTATAAAAAATTACATCAACTAATTATCATTGATTTTTAAACAAAAAAATCTTGAAATTGAAGAATTTATGTGTGTTTCTATGGATAAGACGAGATAGTCTAGGAACATTACATTGATTGAGTCGTGTTAGTATTGTTATTATCTTGATATATAAAACCCAAAAACTGGGCTTGTTGCTTGAACGCCAAAAATCGCCTCTCACAACTATACGTGGCAGTAGCATTTTATTTTCACAGCCACCTATAACGAGATGGGAACATTTGAATTCCAATATATATAATCTTATACCGAATTATATTTTTCTGAGGAAAAAAAAAAAGAATCTTATTAAAGAAATGGAAATTTTGAAAGTTACCTTACGGTAAGATTAGGGGTTAAATCATAGTTTATTAAAGGGATAACTGATTCACGGTAAACAAAATGATATGTCTGCAACCGCAAAGAGTTCTTAATTTAAAGTTGACAATGGTTGTTGATCACTTTCAAATGTGACACAAGATTACACACGGATCATGATCAGATTTCAAATTGACTAGGGAACAAAAAAAAAAGAAAAAGAAACAACTGAATAACTTGGCAATCCTTATATATGTTAGCATGCATCTTGCCATGAATCTCAATCTGCCTACCCTTCTCTTCTTCAATGATTACCATTGGATGGCACATAGGATTGCAATTCCGTTTCATTCTTCGGATCCTTCTCACTATCCTTCATTGCTTCTTTAAGTGAGTCTTCAACACCCTCTTTCTTCTCTTCCCTCTTTCCCCAAAGAACAGAATAGAGCCCCAACACTATCAAGAGAGACCCTATGGCACTAAACCAAATAAATTTATGAGTCAAATTACGTAATTGGTTTATATGGAAGACATATATATATATAAGCATACATGCATATAGTTTATTTAGTTATAAGTAAATAAAGTGCATGTGATTTCTTACGTTCCAGCGTATAATTTCTCCCGAAGTAAAGCCCAGCTTAAAATGGCAGTGAGGACAAGCTGTAAAGGGGTATATACAGAGACATAAAGAGGACCCTTTCTCTCAATGGTCCACGACATGAGGCCATACGCTAACGCCGTGCACATCACTCCCTGGAACCAACAACATTAGCATATAATAATTATTGTTTACTACCACTGTTATTAATGAAAATAGTTTATTTAATTCTTTCATGGGTTAATTTATGTACATATATAGAAACTAATTGCGTATCGTGATCAATATATAAACACATGCAATTGAAGAAGGTATGATATGTACCGCATAAAGAGCAGAGGAAAGTCTCATAGCATTGTGCAATGACCAACCCGAGGCACTGTGGTCAAAACACAAGGCAATGATCACGCATTGAAAGCTCGCCAGTAAACACATTAAGCTAGTGCTCGTGTAGGGTGCTGGATATCTGTCTGAAAGGGGAAAACAAGTGTATAATGATTCTCTAATTAAGTTGTAATATAAGGAGATTAATAAAGTGATTAAGATAAGTAGTAGTAATAATGATGCTCACTTGAATTATGAACCATCCTGCCCAAACAAGGGTGCTACCAATAAAAGCTAAAGGACCAATAAGTAAGCTTGCGTTACCAGAAGAGTCATTTGCTTCCATTTTCTCTGCGTATTTCCAGTGAATACTTGATTGGCCTAAACCAATGGTTTTTCCATGGTAAAATGACAGAAGCAAGGCTCCACTCACACACAATATTGTGCCGAATACCTTTGCTAGCCCGGACCTCTTCTTGATTTTCAAATTCTCTTGTCTAACCATAACAAATATCAAAATTAAATTAAACAGCTCAAATAATGTACTAATTTTCTTTTTTGGCCATTATATATTATTGAATATTACTCCTTCCATCTCAAAATCTTTAGATATTTTAGCCAACTTTTTTTTCTTCTCAAAAACAGTTGATATTTTAGAATTTCAAAGTCTAATTAATATTATTTTTTAATTATACTCTTATTTAATAGACATTTTTTTATATTCACCACTTTTTTTACAAATTCAAAACAAGATAATATAATAGAGATTTAAAATATTAAATAAAAAACTAATTTAAATTTATATTTATTAAATATTTCTTAATTCATGTGTGTTTTATAAGGCCTGAAGCAACAAATATTCTTTTTGTGAAAATAAATGATCGGTCTAATTTGTTTGCTACCAACCTGAAGAGAATTGCAAGGACAAAAGTGAAAGCTGGGAGCAAATTGGTCAGTGCACATGCAATTGTAGCGGTCGAATATTTTAGCCCCACAAAATATAGAACCTGATTTCCTGTAACTCTGCATTCAAACTGAAGTGTGAGATTAAAATGCTAACATGATTAAGAATAAACGAGATAGTTCATGATCTTCGTGAAAACACCAAAGCTTACCCTGTCATGGACGATAATAGTATCCGAAACATAAGAGGCTTTGTCATCCTGGGAAGATTATTCCTAAGGGAAAAAAAATGAAGTTGACTTATTAAAAGGTGTAAAAGTAATAAATACAGTACAAATTTATGCATGATGCATTTACTGATCAAGGTAATTTTCTTCCTTGTCTCCCTTCATTCCTCTATTGGGTGTTCATATATAAAGTTAATGTGAGCAAGAACCTGACAATTTCCACCGAAACTTTCCTCGTAATAATACGAGACTGCCGTATTCATGTCACGAGTTACCACAACTCTCCGTAGTTTGTCTACGACTCTACTTATAAGTATATATACGGTTTCAGAAACTCCGAGAAACGTGTAGCACTAGTACTAGTTATCTTAAAGGTACAAGTTACTAGCTAGCACGTAACACGCCCAGAGAATCATAACGCGTCCTACATGCATGCCGTCGGCGTTCTGCTTTTTTCTTGCTCGATCTCTACACTCCAAATAAATGCACAGAGCAAACACATGAAGCTTGGAGTTTTCCCATTAACTCTGGATGCATGTGACAATGGTTTTTGTCTCGTTACTAACTACTTTATGATCTCTTCCCCTTCTTCATGCATGTTCTTTGTTTCATTGTCTGTATGTTCAAGAAGCCGCTCATTCATGCGCGTCTTTTGTATTTCATTAACCGTCTGAAAACATTTGAGTTTCTTTTTTATTTGATTTTTCGTAAGTAAGTTTTAAGACATGCAATCTTGTTTGAGGTATGATAATATATGAACTCAATGAAAACATTGGAGTTTGATAGAGTCCGATGAAGTTAAACAAGTAGAACCCCCGTTTTTTTCTTATTTAAGACAAGTGCTAAATATCCTTACTTTTTCTTAATTATTTTTGTTGTGTGATAAAGGAAAGTCCATCACTTAATCAAAAACAACTAGCACTTTTCTTTTCACACTTTCCATGTGCTTCATTTATAGATAGATAGATAGCACAATAATAGATCAACATAAAGAAAATGGATCGACGGTGACGCTCAAAGTTAGTGTTACTGCTTCAAACCCTATATAAAATCATTGTCTATGCATGCATGCATTGTGTAAATGAAATAAAAGGAAAACCAGAAAGGTTACATGTACATTACCATTCAAGCCAATAAGCAAAGGGAACAATGGACACAGTTGCAAAGAGTTGTCGATAAGCAACAAGGATAAGAGGATTCATGCCAGATTGTATTGCAAGCTTTGAAGTAATATTCATCCCAGCATAGACGAATTGCACAAGAACCATTAACAAGAAAGGAACGAAACCAGCACCAGCCATATTGTCTCTAATAAAAGTATCTTATTCTTGACTCCTATGGGGATTTGAACTTTGGAGAGAGGCTAGGAGTGTGAATGTGAATGTAAATGAAATGCATGAGAGATATATATAAAGAGGAGGCGTGAGCAAGTTGCGTGAAGTAAGAGTGAAAGAAATGCATGGTGGCAGCAATATCATAGTTACACTATTTGTTTTTTTACGGAAAAGAAAGGGGTTACTATCGGTTTATTGCGAGACTTTGGGCTTTTGCTCGGGGTTTGGTAGCTTTCAATGCGTTTCAGAGTGATGAAATAACTTAAAAATTTGTTGAATCCAGACACGCGCATGTCAACAAAAGAGCAATAAATTAAGGGACCCATCACAGTTCTCGTTGTAGGGCCATGCATTCACACCCACCCCAGGCTTGTTCCACGTTTGCAAAAGATTGCATGCAGCTCATCCATGCTTCTCTCTTCCTTGAATTAAGCATCATTTCTAAATAGAACAGAGAGAGTGAGGGAAGTTTCACTTTCAGGTACCCTTTTTCAAGGCCAATTAAATTAAGTTACAATTTATGATCTCATTTATCTCTTTGTCTTGGGAAAAGGATCAAACGCCAGTGAAGTAAATTCTTCCCGTTAAGACTGTGCAGGTCTCTTTTATCATATGTCCAAATGTATGAGGTCCTATTGGGGGATGCCATTGACGTTAAACTAGGCAAATTTTCAAAATGCTAGGTTTTTCTAGATTTTACTCCATCCCTATATTATCACATTCTCCTTCCACTTACCCTCACGAGAAGTTTCTTCCTAATTATGAATAAACGTTTTGATAAGGCTATCTTAATACAAATATATATAGACATTGTTTTTACCATCTATATGTCAAACTTTTCTATATATATAGTTAAGAGTCATCATCTCTATTTTCTCGTCGCATCCAATTAATTTGTCACTATATAATATTGTTAAGTAGTGTTGGAAGACTGATCAAGAAAGCAAAATGTAAACATTTTAAATAAAATAAAATAAAAACAGTAACATTTATCAATTAAAAACGAGAAAATGTATTTAATACTAAAATTACTTTTTAAAATAATTAAAAGCATTCTAATAAAAATATGTTAAATGTACTTGACTAATGAAGTCACAATACTTGCACTGCACTTAGCAAAACCCAGTAATTAATTAGTAGTAATTATATGCAATTTTTTTAACATATTCACATAATGTCCTAATTTTTTAATTAATAACTACAAATTAATCTCTACTTGCATAATAAAACTATCAAAAATATTATTTTACCATTGTCGAAAATCAACCAAAGCAACATCAACTCGACACCTGAAATTATATGCAGTTTAATGTACTTATTCAAAATAAGTATGTAGCATATATTCATTTATTGCGGCATTAATCCGGGGTCTTAATTGTCACGTAAGGTAAGGCTATACTTCAGCTTAGGATCCAAACAAGTGTTGGAGTTTATTTTCAGGAAAAGTAATGCAGCCAAAGTATAATAATGGCGATAAAGAAAATCAACACGTATAGGTAGAGTACAAGAAAATATAAACTACTACTATAAGTATTTTTTATGTATGTAAATCCCTTTTAAAATGTAGAGATTGTAGAAATCAATTTGTTTTCTTAATAGTAGTTCCATTGAATCTTAGTATTCAATATAATTAAGTGCCATTTTTTTTACAATAGTGAAAATGAACTTCGTGTAAACAACTCAAAACTTCATTAATTTCTAAATTAATGCACCACTAAAATTGGTCTAGATAGTTTATATATATATATATATATATTTATTGTCATTATAATTTTTATAGTTAAAAAAATTGATCCTAGCTTACTTCAATATAAGTAAGGTAGTTATTAGTTATTGTACTCTGTATATACAAACATCAATTTATTTTAAACTAGTATAAAATATAAGTTTAAATATATTTTTAATTTTTATAAAATGAGTGAATTTTAATTTTAGTTCTTGTAATTCTTTTTCTTATTTTTTATCCTTCTAAAATTTATAAATATTATTCATGGTCCTCATAAAATATTTTTGATCCTTAATTATAAAATGAATAAATTTTATTTTTAACCCTTGTAAAATATTTTTTTCAATTTTTATCTTTTTAAAATAAAAAAAATATTATTTTTGATTCCTGGTAAATAATAATAATTTTTAAATAAATAAATAACATTTATTTTAAGAACTTATAAAAAATTTAGAATTGTCATATACTGACATAGTATTATTAATAGTCATGAATAATGATTGAGATAGTCATTTAACCTTTTGATAAACAATTAAGTATATATTTAAAAATAATTATATAATAGCATGACCTAAAATAATAATTTTAAATTTCATAAGAACAAAAAAATAAAAATAAAAATATAAGGATCAAAATCAAAACTCACTTATTTTACGAGAAATAAACACATATTTAAACCTAAAATATAAATTGCTTTTAATTATCTTTTTTTGTTACACTAAGAAGTTTAGATGTGAGAAGAAGAAGAAAAATAAGCAAATTTTAAAAAAAAAAACCAATTTCAAAATATAAAAATTTAATATTTTAAATAAAAAATCGTTAATAAAGTTAAAAATTTAAACTACTAATATTTAAGAACTTAAAATTTTACAATATAAGTTTCAAAAAATTTAAAAATATATAGAGAATGATAAATAACAGCGAAGTCGTAAGCTTTTCGTTTAAAATAAGTATTTCTAATATATATATATATATATATTTTTTTAGACTTATGATCGATAGCTTATACTAATAGGCAAGACAAGAAAAATTGCCCAAACATGTCTCCAAAACAAATTTGATTTTTTTTTTTACAATAATAAATTTGGTTTAAGAAGTGTCACGATGAATTAGAATTAGTTAACTCTTCCAAAATGTATAGCTTCCTTCTCCATGATCTCAACCTAACATTCGGAAGGTAATTGTTGAACTAGTAGACTACTTACTAAACTAAGTACCAAGAGTCACTCCTTTTGGACAATAGGAGTTGCCGTTCTTTCTATCATTGCTTCAACCCTATTGGTAGAGATCAAACTTGTTTTAAATCAGGATTGGGTAATAGTTCTAGCTAAAGAATCCAAATGTTATGATGGATTGGTTATCAAACTCAGGTCACTTAGGACCATTCTATAGTCAGATTGTGAATATGCCTCATGAGTGCCTTTTTCCCCTTTAGGTCTGCAGTTTTTTTCTTTTGGGCTAGCCCTAATCACAATTGGGAAAAAGAAGATAACGGTTTTACTTTAATTTGAACAAAACAATGTAATGTTACTTTGAATTAATGGTTGATTAGCATTACTAATTAAAAATAAATAAACATTTTTCTCCATTACTTCTTTTCTGAACATCAAATTATTTATTACTGTTTTATTTTTATATGTTATACACAAAAAATATATTTTTTTATAAGTAAAAAATGATATTTTAAGAAAGTAAACAAAATAAAGAGAAATCTTTTTTTCCACCATTTCATGCCAGTTTGGGGAAGGGAATTTTTGTTGTGGGTCTCACAAAGAAAACTTCCTTCTCTTTCATAATTAATTTTCATCTCAAACAAAAAATATATATTTTTATCTTATCTCCTTCATTTTAATTTCCTTTCTTTCCTATTAATCCGAAACTAAAAAAATTAATAATAGTGAAAATGGGTAGCTGAAATAAAATAATAATTTTTATTTTTAAAAAAAAAAAAGTGATTCATAGAAAAAGAAATAAACATTATAAAATTGGAAAGAAATCCTCTTATATATTTTTTTTCATACGATAGTTTTATAAAAATACAAATAAAGATTCCATAATAATAAATTTTGAAATTTGTGTTTATATGTGTAATTTGTTTTTTACATAATATGTAAAAACTTCAAATATAATAATCATTTCCGCTAATGTGAATATATGGTATACATAAGGAAGCTGAAAAAACATGTAAACAAAAATTTTTCATGCCTCTACTAGGCTTAGGTCTGGTGAGTTTGGGAAATATAACATGTTGTGATTTTGACTTTTTAGGATGTGTTTGTTTCAAGATATAAAAATGCATTAATGTGAAATTATTTGAGAATATCATATTCTTATATTTAATACAAGTATTGAAAAAAAATGGAATATAAAATACGTATATTTGTCTTACTTATTCCTACAGTGGAAGGTGAGTTTTTGTACATTGATATGAGAATATTTATATGTAATAATGTAAATGTAAAAAACAGAAAGAAAGAAACTCACTTTTCCATTCTCATTCTTTCTTTCACTTTTTTTTTTCCAACTTTTTATAAATATTGTTTTTAGATATTTATAGAAAACAAGTTTGGGCTAGGTATGAAATATTTTTTTTAAAAGTAATGAGTAATTTATTGCCTGACAAGTTTGGAATAAGTATTTAATATATTTTTTATATAATACACATATTAAATTTAAAATATTTTTTGTTAATGAACTTGTCTCACATAAATATTCTTATGGTCAAAGTGTTTTTAGTTATAGGAAATCTAATGACGAGGGTTTGAATTTAGCATTGTGCATATAATAAACTTAGATTTAAATTCTAATTGTTATGCTTTGGTGAGATAATATAAGAAAATTTACGAGTAGTAGGAAATTCAAAGTAGAAAACTAAAAAAGTTTTTGTTTTCTTATTTTTAAGAATAAAAAACACGTAAGCCGTTAGTCTCATCCCTCAAGTTTTTGTTGTGTTGGAATTGGATTCGTTGAAAATTAAAATTAAAATATATAATCAAAATGATATCCAGAACATTATCATATTTTGTTTATTCGATGGGAAATTCTTAAAATAAAAAAAAATAAAGAAAAACAAGGAACGTAACCCAAGCCATCCTTGAAAAGAAGGGTATCGATATAATATTATTTGTCTTCCAAATAATTTAGCGAAACCCATATTCACAAGCAATGGAAAGACGAGTACGTAATAGCAACTAATTTAGCTTTTATCCCATTTTCGATTGGCGTGTGCCCTCTCGTGTACTCAAATTTTCTTATAGGAGAGAGATACATGCAAAATAAATATGAGATTTAAAAAAAACATTAATTTTATAATTTAGTGTATCTCTCACCTATCAAAAAAATTTAGTGTCGGAAAGTGTATACATTCCATCTGGATGCCAAATGAAAAGTCAAGCATTCACATGAAGGAATCATTTCAAAAAAAAATTCACCAAAAACAGTGGTGTTGTTAGCACTTAGCATGGGATAACCAATAGTGTTATTAGTAAAAAGAATTATTCTAAGAATTTGTAATCTCTATGATATACATATTTTATCAATTTGTTTAGATTTTTTTCGTATGGATTTAATTCTTCTTTAAAATTAAAATGATGATACAATTTGAATTTTGTGCATAAATTTATGAGTAATTCTATTGTGTGTAGATGAGTTTTTTCAATAGTAACATGAGAAATATGGTAGAAAATAAAGTTTAAAATATCATTATTTTAACGATTTGATATATCCTTATACTTAACGATTTATAACTACTAACAAAAAACATACACAACTAATTACCTAAAATTAAATTCAAGACCTATGTGAAAACTAGAGACTATATATTTATATATATATATATATATATATATATATATATATATAT